GTCTGTCGTACCAGCAGGCCACTGGGCCTGTCCTGCTGGTCGGTCGCAGATCTGCCCACCTTTCGGGCACGAGTGGAGGCTCTGCTTTGCCCCTACTCCAATTGGGGTGTCGTGACTACCCCGCCTGCAGGATGCTGGGTCTGTTCCTGGCAAGGGAGGCGACTCTGCTCTGTCACTACTCCAATTAGGGTGGTGTTTGTACCCCGCCGGCAGGCTCCTGGGCCTGATCCGCCGGTCTGTTGTAGGTCTGCCTACCTTGAAGGCGCTGGCGGCGGATCTGCCCTGCCCCTCCTACCACGCCTGCGGACCCCTGGGCCTGATCTGCAGGTTGATCACTGGTCTGCTCACCCTGCGGGCACGGGTGGCGGTTCCGCTCCACCCCCACTCCAATTGGGGTCACGTGACCACCACACCGGCAGGGCCTGATCCGGGCGTGGGATAAGGATCTGCTCTGCCCCTACTCGAGTTGGGGTGACGTGTGTACCACACTGGCAGGCCACTGGGCCTGACCCGCCAGGCTGTCACAGGTCTGTTTACCTTGCAAGCGCGAAGGGCGGCTCTGCCCTGCCCCTCCTACCACGCCCATGTACTACTGGGTCGTGGGTCTGCCCACCTGGCGGGTGTGGGTGGCGGCTCCGCTCCGCCCCCTCTCCAATTGGGGTCACGCGGTCACCACGCTGGCGAGCCGCTGGGCCTGCTCCGGGGGCTGGCAGCGGCCCGGCTCCTTCCCTCCGGCTCGAGGACAAATTGAGGAGACTCGGGTGACTGAGCCTCACCCCCCTTACCAGGAGACCAACTGCTTATGTCACCGCTGGTATTGATGAAGATCTCTCCTCCACCGCTTTCTGCTGACATCAGATCTCTGCCATGTTGGTATCCTATGCGAATGGCAGCATTTCGTTCCCCTTGCCAGGCAACCCAAGCAATGGGTGAGTCCTGACCTGCCCTCAGCAGGACCCGGACCGAGACACAGTTTCCGCGGGCTCCTAGCCCCGGTCCAGGGAAGTTCCGGGAGCCGGAACTCGGCCGCTCCGTGCTCGGTGTAAGCTCCTATAAGTGTAGGCTCCAAGAAGCAGCCCCCGCGGGCTCAGTTCCGGGAGCTGGAATTCGGCTTCTTGGTGTTTCGTGTTTGCTCTGATATTAGCAGGGTCCAAGAAGCAGCCTCCGCAGGCTCCGCAGCCCGGAGCCAGGGCGGTTCCGGGACGGTTCCGGGAGCCGGGACTTGGCCGCCCCGCGCTCCGTGTTCACTCCGATAAGATCAGATTTTAAGAAGCCCCCAGGCGCTGAACCCTAGCAATCTGTCTGCAAGCCGCAGGCGAATTGCAGCCTGAAATTACCTGTTCTATGGCTGAATGAGCTGCGGTCAGTCAAAAACAGGTGTGGTGACGTCAGTTTACCAACATGGTGGCTGCTGGCCTCCTCTGTGGTCTGACCGGTGTGGAGAACCGAGATGGACCGCTTCCTTCCCCGTCTCGAACCCAGAATTCAGCCCTGAGTGCGGTGCTTGCGCGTCTGGCAGAAACTGCAGCGCTGTAACCCTGCGTCTCTATCCCAGCGCGCCTTGCAGACTCTAGCCGCGGGGCGATTTGCTGAATAAGCAGTGTTACCCTCCGTGCGACAAACCTCTCGCATTTGAGTCCCCGTAGCCGATCCTCATGCGATGGAAATCCTTCCTCCAGGTTCCGGCGCACCCCACTATTGCTGGAAATTCCTAACAAGATATCCTTTAGCCGTCCTGACTTGTCATACTCCCACACAGTGAAGCAGCACACGGGGGTAATGCACTCCCCTCGCCGCCATCTTCCCTCCCTCCGGCCCCTGAAATATAGTTTTCACCATATTTGTTAGAGGCCTGACCTTAGTTGGCCAGTATAAGTAATCTGGATGGTACCAGGACACTGTCCTGCAAGGAAGTGGCATTCCTTGTACAAACTGCAGCCTTTTAATGTGCTGGGTGGGAGGAGCACACACACTGACTTTTGTACCCTGAATTTCAGGAAGAGGAGCATCTGTGGGTCCCTACCTGGTACCTATTTTTCTTAGTATTGTGATTCCAGGAACTCTTCCTTCTGGGTTCTAGAAACTCCTAAGTCCTTTCTCCACTTTTTGTTTTTTCAAGGAAAGACTCCTTTTGGCAGTTTTGGACTTTGTGTATGAAAGATCTGCACAACCCTCTCCTTCAGTCCTCTTATGACCACTATGAGTTTTCCTTTCTGCCTGCCATTTCAACCCAGGAGACATGAAATGCATTTGACATTTATGAAAGTGGAAGCATTTTTCCTCTAACATAATCTAAATCATAAAGCATTTTATACATAAATAGTAGGTTGTGGTTCTTTTGCATGTTATCCATGAAATATTTTAAATTACGTGTGGTTAATACATCATCATATTTAAATACCATTTGTAGACAAGTCTGTTTTCTCACTTAAAAAATTATTCTGGTGCTTCTCACCACTTTAGTCTACAGAAGAACCCTTTACTGGTGTTAAACTTTCTAAAGAACTTTTCATTTTATCTAGAGGATGCATTTGAATATATACTGGGGTTCCTTATTCAAAGTGTTTTTCTCTCTGTTTCTACAAAAATGTATACATTTATTCAAATATGTGCACATCTTGAGAGCAATCTATTTCTCATTTATATTTGTATCCCCAATGTCGCAGCAGTGAATCAAGTGCGCATAGTAGGTGAATAGGAAATGTTTATTCAAAGGAACCAAACATTTTCTGTTTTTTGAATGTCCTGTTTGTGAATTGACATCATTTTATTTCCCAAACTTAAGAAAATCTCAGTTTCTAAAAGTAACCTACTACATTTAAATAAAAATAATTGATATAAAGTTTAAAGCTACCACTTGATCAATTAAACCTGCCTCCCTCATTCCCTCCCTTCATTCTTTCCTCCCTGCCAAAAGGTCAAATTTGGCTACAAATGAGAAAAACAGCAATCTAAAATAAAAAACAAAAAATGACAAATTTAGTTAATGAAATTTAGTTAAGAAAGAGTTTTTTAAAATTTGAAGTGGTGATTTCATTATTTTAAAGTAGGTTTTCCTTTAAAAGTTCCATATAATGCAAACAGAAAACACGGTTATCAGAAAAAAGACCCTCCCCCCCAAAATCACAGAAATCACCTACATCGTCTATTCTCCCTATGCATTTTCTTTTTTAATTTTTTAATTAATTTTTAAAATTTATATATGACAGTGGAATACATTACCATTCATATTACACATATAGAGCACAATTTTTCAAATCTCTGGTTGTATACAAAATATATTCACACCAATTTGTGTCTTCATAAAAGGAAAGAGATTGAAATTTTAGGTAAGAAGTCAGTCACTGACTCATAGGTTATCAGACATCTTCTTGTTAAAGATCAGTTCATCTCTGTTCAATCTCATCTTTTCCAAAAAGGGTGGGACCCATGTGCCAGATACATCAAGTCATTAAAGGGTACCTGGGCTTGATAAATTATCAATACTCAAATAAAAATATCAGAACAGGAATAATAGAGAGTTCTACATAATTGGTGTGCTAACCAGAGCCTAGTCTGATTGCTGGCACTCAGAATTTTATCCTCAGAATTACAGACTGATAATGAGAGTATGTGCCACTATAAAACCAAGATCTTCTTTTTCAGATCTGTACTTTACTTTTCAGTGTGAGCTTAAGCTTCTGTGTCAACAATATTGCTCGTGATGTCTTCCTTTTTGATATTTACTAAAATACCTTGGGGCATGTTGTAAACCACTGAGATAACTTGTTCTTTCGACACATATTAATGGGTTGGACCCAAAGAGTCAATAATAAGCCAAGAAGTATTTGAACTTTAGTGTGACAAAGGAAGCAGGAAATTCAGTGTCCCTATTATTCAAAATAATAGGCTTATTCTAGAGCCCACATTTTAAGATGAACTACAACAAATAAAACCTTTCTAAGAAGGAAGCTCTATCAAGGTGAGAGGTCTGGGAAAACTGGCATTGGAGGAAGAGCTAGAGGTTTCTCTGTAACTCTAGAGGAAGGCTGGATTGGGGGAAGGGATAGCAGAACTGATCCACAAATTTGAAAGAATTTGTCATGGGGAGGAGGGACAGCAAGTAAATTCCGACTGGCTCCAAGAAGCAGATTTTGCCTCTATGTAGGAAAAAACTCCTGCCCTTCAAATACCCTGTGGATCTGAAATACTGCTTTGCAAACCAATTATCCTGCTGCACATGAAAGCAGAGGCTGATCAACAAGGTTGCAGAGGATACCCTCCTTGAGGGCCTAAGACTGAATCCAAAAGCTCACATGCTGAATTAGTGAAAGAATTCTGCACATGGCATTTGAGTTGTATCTCCATAGATTTCACATGAGGCCCCTTTCCATAGGAAATCCTGTGGAGAATGAAGGTAATAGGAACATTAAATACCAGTGTTGAAGAGAATGCCGGGATCCTTTTCAAAAATGTTTTTAGGGTTCATTTCTTCACCATTATAACCTTAAAGATTCCCAGGAACCAACTCATTCATTTCCTGTCTACTTGGGGGTCAAACATTCTGTACATTGAGAGAGAGAGAGAGAGAGAGAGAGAGAGAGAGAGAGAGAGAGAGATGGAAGGCACAACCCTGCTCTGAAAGATTGATTGAGGGAGATGTACCTATATACAACTAGAATAGGAATGAGTCTGTTCTGTCCTCAAGGTTAGAAAAGAAGTGATCTGGTGGTTAGGGTGGGAGTGAGTTCTTACTACACCTCTTCAATTAAATCAGTCCAAAAGGAACGAGAAAGAGAAAGAAAAACACGGTTGCAAGACCCTCAGAAAACTTTCTCCTGTTCAGCAAACTCACCTAAGGATGATGGTTGAATGAAGCACTATTAATCTGGGGAGATTAGAGAGTGGGTATGTGATGCAACAAAGCTTATGAAATTTTTTTTTCTGAAAGATGTTAATCTCTAGAAAGCTCCATTTTTTGGCTTGGGGACAGGACTGCAGCCCTTTCTCTTTTCTCCTAGCTTCCAGGAAGTCCACAGCTTTGCCTCGGGCAAGGCTTTGCCATGGGGACCTCTGTGTGCAGCCATGGCCAGCTGCCACTCTCTGATCCTTCTCAATGGGACCATCCAGGGAGACCCTCTGGACCTCAAAATGTTTGAGGCCACCACCTGGGTAAGCCTCTGACCTTCCGAGAATCTAAGCTTCTTCAGTTTCCAGCGCAACACAGTCTCTGTCACAGCCACCTAATATTTACAAATAGTGAGGTTTCCAATATGGAGTAAAGGGAAAACTAGTGTAAGGCTAGTCATCATCTCATCTGTACAGTACAACTAATAATTGTATCTACATTGTAAAATTACTGTGAGGACTAAATGAGATGGTATATTAAAAAATACTTGGCACAGTTTCCTGGCACATAATAGAAGTTCGATGGTATTACAATATAATTATAATTCATATATAATTCCCAACTCATTGTACTGTTCTATGTGCAATGTCTGGTTTCGATGTTTTCTAGAATTGATTTGGTGAAGTGATAGACACATTAGTTAGTTTCATTGACCCCTTCTACAACATGCATAGGTCAAAACATCATGTTGCACCCCATAAATATACATAATTATCATTTATCAATTTAAATATATAAAAGAAAAAAAAATCTCAGAACATGAGAATTAGGAGGCACTGCTATCCACAGTGCTTGGGATAACTCATGGTCACCAAGAGTTTTATGGCCATTAATTTGGTATCAATTCTGTTTCTAAGACAGGAGATGACAGAAAGGAAAACCACTGTAGACCTCCATTGAGACACTGAATTGGCTGTAAAAGTACATGCTGCAGTACAGGAATCTGACTCTCCTGGCTCTGGCTTTTGCTCTGCTATAATTAACTCCTTGGTTCTGTGAAGTTCTCACCCATGTTGGGGCCTTGATTTCCTTGACCATAAAAAGAAGGGGATTGAATGAGACCAATGTTGTTACATAGTAGGAGACAAAAAAGCTGGAATCTAGGCAGGCATGGTGGCGCATGCCTGTAATCCCAGTGACTCAGGAGGCTGAGACAGGAGAATCACGAGTTCAAAGCCAGCCTCAGCAAAAGTGAGGTGCTAAGCAACTCAGTGAGACCCTGTCTCTAAATACAATACAAAATAGGGCTGGGGATGTGGCTCAGTGGTCGAGTGCCCCTGAGTTCAATCCCTGGTATCCTCCAACCCCCCCAAAGTTGGAATCTTTTCTTTAAAGGAACCCTTACTAAGAAACCCTCTTTTAAGACCAAATATTTGGAGTTTTTCTGGCTCAGATAGAGGTGGAGGTAAAGGAGGAGATTAAGAAAAACACGTTCACAACTGCTTGCTGCTCCAGGCTCTGTGAGCACCACTGAAAGAAACAATCTTTAGCTTCTTTCGAATTCTAGTAGAGCATGATTCTGTAGCAGTCTGATGTAACTTTGCCAATCCTTCATCCTTTCTGGATTACTGTTCCCATATCTTTTTCAGCCACTAAATGAGATGATTACAAAGCACTTTGATATCTTCAGGTAAAAAGTTCCTATGATTATAACTTACAGTCATTATTATGGCAATTACTGAACATTAACCACATCCATCACAGTCCCTGCCCTGTTCTGCCCTGCCTGGAGGACCATCAGTCCATATTAGACAGAGGGAGGACAGCAGAGTCTACTATGCACTCCAGGAAAAGCAAGATAACAAGGAGCCTGCTTCACACAGAATAAGCCTGGCTATTAGTGCTCACTATTTTCAAGTTAAGCTCTTCCGAAATAGAGAATGAGCCTTTATATGGCATACTCCAACAGAGAAAGCAGGATAAATTGCATGAATAATTCAGAACGTCTGCCCTTCAAGTTCAGTAGCATTTCCAATGCAGTATTATTATTATTATTATTATTATTATTATTTTGCTGTGGTGGAATAGGTCTGTTTTGTCTCCATCTAGCAGAGGGAGGAGACACAGTGAACACTGAGGTGGTCTGAAGATTTGCTCAAGAGAAGGGTTTGAACATAGTACCAGTGGATCAACAATGTACACATAAATCTCTACAATGAAATATCTTGTTTGTGAAATAGGAAATGGCTGTTTCTGGGGATGATTTCCACATCAAGGGAGTGCCGGCATATGCCATGGTAGTTAAGCCCTGCAAAACAGCCAGCCAGGTAAGCCTTGCATGTTGTTCACCCTACAACACCCAAATTCCTAGGGAAACTCCCTTTTGGCCCACAATTGTTGAAAGCTCACAGATGCGTCTTTGAATTTCAGGTGTGAAAAGTGGGACATTTCCTCTTTGCTAAAATGAGGATTGAGGGAGAAGTAGTTGATTCCCAGTAGTTAGATGTTCCTCTCTTCCCCATTCCTCCACCAGGTCCCAGTGGAAGGAATTGCAATTCTCCATCAGTTCCCCTTCTCATCAGCACTGCAGAGGATGACAGTCATTGTCCAAGAGATGGGAGGTGACCGACTGGCGTTCATGAAAGGTGCACCAGAGAGGGTGGCAGGCTTTTGCCAACCTGAGACAGGTTAGTAATAGACTTGGATTATAGCAGGCAAGTCTGTCTTTCCAGCCAAGCATGCCCCAAACACGTGATCTGGAATACAATTGCCTGTCATTGGTCAGCACCAATTGGCTGACTCATTGGCACTCCGAATTCAACGACAAAATCAAGCTTGTATCTCTTACTTCTTATATTTCCCAGTTTTCCATTTTAGGTAATGGTATCACCCATCAACCCCTATTTAGGAGTCATTTCTCTCCCTCCCTCTCCCTCAGGGCCTCAGTCTTGTCTGTTGCTAATCCACGGTCTCATCAGTATATCCTTTCAGACCCGCTTTATCCCTCATTAGTTCAATAGTTGGTGAATTTTTGTCCCCTGCTTCCAGTCTCCCTTCCTCTGACTCACCCATCACCACTGTGTGGCCACTATATATATTGTCATTTGGCTGCTTCTCAAGATTTTACTATATTCTTAAATTCCTTTAGGATCATATATAAGACCTTCACGATCTGACACTGTTGAACTTTCCAGATACACTCCTTCCTCTCCTCACATCCTGTGCTTCCTCTGAGCTGAACTAACTACACAAGGCTTGCAGTCTCATGCTTCCTGCCTGGGGCACATGGTGCTCCCTCAAAAGCAAAAAAGTGCTTTCCTTCCTGCACTGCCCACATCCGCCCAGTCAGGCATATGCACCACTAAGTGTGCGTGTAACATGCTGCGCTCACTAGGATCGCAGCAAGGATCTCCTATGGTTGTACTGCTAGTATACTAGCTTTTATCCGATTCGACAGAAGTCCTTAGAGCAGAACTTGCATTGTAATCTCTACATAGCCAATGCCAGGCACATAGCAGACTCTCAAAAAATATTTATTGATTAAAACTGGAGAGAGAAAAAATTCTACCCATTCTCTATCCTTTTTCAAATGCTTCCACTCCATTTCTGCTTCACTGGATGCTGCGAAATCAATCGTGGCACTAGAGTTATATTTATGATTTTCACTGACTTGTTTGTATGACATTTTAGAATTGTGTTTTCTTGGGTAAGAGCTGTCAAGAATTTCCCTACTAGTAGCAGATAAGTAAATATTGCATACTAATCCTGTGTTGTTTTCTGAACAGTCCCAACTAGTTTTGTTAGTGAACTTCAGATTTACACGACACAGGGGTTCCGGGTCATAGCACTGGCCTACAAGAAGCTGGAAACTGACCACCACACAACCTCCTTGACAAGGTAAAGGGGAAAGATTTTGATCAAGAAGGACAGTTTTGTGGGAAGATGCACCAGCCTTAGATGGGACTGTGGGGTTCGGGATGGTGGATGCAGCAACATAGCTTGCTCTATTTTTGTGCTTGAAGTGTCTCTGGCAAACAGGTGTACAGTCACCCTGTTTTGCTAAAATCACAAAGTGGATATGAACACTGACTGGAATAATATGTGAGAAATATCCATATAAAATGTGAAAGATAATGCGATTTTATGGCTTTGTGAAACCACATATGAATATAACCAGCCTTTCAGGTTTGAAATTGTGGTCATGCCCCTGTTGTTGAAATTACAATCAGTGGATTGGTTGGAAGTAATGAAACATAACATCTGCCTGAAAAAAAAATTCTTAATAAGAAACACACAGCTTAATGAAACAAATAAATATAACATAGACTTACATAATCCAGGAAATGTTTGCAGAAAAACAAAACAAAATGTTTCTAGTGGGGTCATACTAAAGAAAGTTATGATTATGCATATCTTAAAATAAAGATACTCAGTAGCTAAAATGGATCGAGTATTTATAATTTCAACTTTATTTGTTTCGATTTTATTTTCCACTGTTTTTATGCTATGGTTTTTAACTTCAATACCAGTTCCAATAGTATATATCAGCCACTACTAGCTATACCAGTATGGAGATGATCAAAGCTCATTTGGTTATTTAGGATTTTAAACTCGAAAGGTTTTACATATTCATTTTCAGTGTTATCATACGCAAGTCTTTCTAGTTTAGCTCAAAACTTTTCCTTTAATATGCTAAAAGAAAATTTATATGTAACATTATTTGTACATATTCTTTGTATAAACATAATATCCTCCTATAGAGTTAAAAATAAAAGCAAAAATAATGTACCACAAAAAGGAATGGTTCAGTAAATGCTAAACTGACCCTGCTAAAACAACACAAAGAAGTTGCTTGCATCTGTGTACAGAATTCTCAAAATTTCGAGAGCTTTAAATGTAGACGGACACAGGCCTGGTACATGGTATAGTCTGAATACCTCAGTCTTGCTGTCAGTGAGGCGATTCTGTGATTTGTCAAATAACACTTGATAAAATTTCTAAAAGATAATATAATCTCCCCATTTATACAGTTGTTACACAGTTGTTACACTTCCACAAAATTCAATAGGGTGCAAACATATTTTTTTTTGTTTATGTGTAAACCATAGCTAGGGGAAGTATAATAAAAATTATGATTGTCAAATAGATGAATATTATCTATTAATAACAGTATAGTATGCTATACAGTAATACAGTAGTATAATAAACAGTGTAAGTCTAAATTGACTTAGGAAAAATGCAATTTTTTTAGATGTCCGTGGATATTTAGTTATCAAAGCTACTTGGGACATGGCCTAATTCTTTATGCATTGGCCATTACAAAAATATTTCATACTTGCCAAAAATTTTTCCAAAATATCCTCTGGAGGCAGTTGTGTCCCTGCTGAGAATGACTGATGTGACCAACCCTCTAATTTTGTGAATGGGCAAAGAAGCCCAGAGGGGGAGGTGATTCATTTAAAGTTATTGAACGTTGGATTCCTGAGCCTATCGGGACACTCCCTGTGGAGCCAGCTTAATGTGAAACTTTGGCTAGATATTTTTGTAATCTAATCAACTCAGTTCCAGGTCTTTCAAGTCAGAGATCTAAAAGCGAACTTTGAAACTGGATGTCACATTTTGAAGAAGAGCAAACTTGGGTCCAGGAAAAGGATGTGCAGAATTGGGAATGGTACTTAGTTTCCTGAGAGTTATTTTCAGGGATATAGCAAGATTCTGGCTACCATGTTTCTGCTACTTTTGACTGTTATAATAGGTGTTTTGGTCAGCTCTTTCAGTGCTTTGTCTAAAGAAAAATTGGAGAGGAGGAAAATTTATTTAAGGGCTCATGGTTTCAGGGGTCTTAGTCTATGGACAGCCGGCTCCATTCCTCTGGACTCAAGGTGAGGCAGGACAACATGGCAAAAGAGTGTGACAGAGGGAAGGAGCTCACATGGTGGTCAGGAAGCAGAGAGAGAGAGAGAGAGAGAGAGAGAGAGAGAGGTCTCCACTTGCCAGATACAAATATATACCCCAAAGCTCTGCCCTCAATTCCTACCTCCTCCAGCCACAGCCTACCATTCAGTTACCACTCAGTTAATACCTATCAGGGAATTAATTCACTGATTGGGTTAAGACTTTCACAACCCAATTATTTCTCCTCTGAACCTTCTTTCATTGTCTCACATGTGAGCTTTTAGGGGATACCTCACATCCAAAGCATAAGTATTTGTATGCTCATAAGCTATAGATTCATGATTTGGAGACTTGTATAGGTACTCAGACCTCACTGGGGAGCACGTGAGCAGTAGGTATTGGTTATGTCATTGACAAAAGTATTGGCATTCTAAATTCTAACTGTCAAAGTCCGGTGGGGTTTATATGTGAATTTACTTATAAGATCTGATCATAGGTTGTTAACTTGTTAATTTGTCTCTCTTGTCTTAACATCATATCACCACTGTATATGCTCAAAGTTACATGAATTGGCTTGTCTTTTGCTGATCCCTGATTGAGACAGAACATGCTTTCTGATGTTTATTTGTTTGTTTATTTATTTATTTTAATTTTGCTATGTGTGTGTTTGTGGTTACTCAGGGTGATTTCAGCACTATCATAATCTCTTTGAAGTTAATTGGCCCCTTTATTCATATTTCTTCCTTTAGAAGTCACATAGATTTTAAGAACATGAAGCGTAATCATGAGGATGACAATTCTCCCTTTTTATGAAATCCATCATTCTTTAGAAACTTCAGATGGAGGTATAATATCTGCGTAGGAAGCAGGAAAAGCCTGCTATTCTAAGGTGCAGAGTTTGAGACTCCTCAAGGGATTACTCCTTTTCATTTCTTGCCTCCAATTGAATCCTCAGGAAAGGAAGAATAATGGAATGTTAAGAGTTAGCAGAGACCTTGGAAATCCTGACACAAACTGGGCAGGGTGACCTACTCACGGTCACACAGGAAGGCAGTGATGAGGACTCCAGTCTCCTGGTGGTTATGCAGTTGCACCCTATGAAGAGTTTATATGCCAGAGAAACTGGAAATACCAGTATTAAAGAGGGTGGTAGGCTCTGTCAGGTGTTTTCCCTTGCAGCTCTTTTCTTGGCCTAATAGGGCACCTTGTGGTTGGCTCATGTCATGTCATCTCTGAAAATATCTAAAGCCTGAGGCCTGAGGATGAGGGTCACAAGAATCAGGAATCGATTAAGTTATCCATCAAGAACAAGCTCAAATAACACCTCTTCCAGAAGGCTCTAGTCACTCCACCTATAAATGATCACACTCTGGCTCCCTCGGACTCTGATGTGTACATCTGTCACAGTGCTTTCCCTAGCTTTCCATATAAACAAGGTGGTCAGTTCTAGTTCTCCCCCCTGGTTGAGGGTGAATCTCTAGATTCAGGGGCTACCATCTAGTCTCTACATATTTTCTCAGTCTTCTCCTTGATCCTCCTATTACTTCACTTATTAGGTGCTCAATAAATGCCAATGGGCCTAACACACTGCCTGAGATCACAGTAGGAACCTTGAAAAAGGAAATGAAGTTTCCTATGTTGCATGGCCAAACAAAGTCACAACAGGTATCAGAGCATCTTTCTATGTGGGGGCACCAAATGGGAACACTGAACATTGACTCACATGGTCTTGCCTTCAGGGAGTAGAGACAGATCAAAAGGTCAAGAATGATAATAAATGGGCAAATACAAGCCAGATAAACTGAGGAGGAAGCAAAATGGCAAAATGCTTAGTGAGCAGTTATTTCCACCTGAAGAAATATTTTATTTATTTTTTATTTTTATTTGTTTAAGGGGCACTTAATCACTGAGCCACATCTCCAAACCTTTTTTTATTTTTTTATTTTGAGACAAGGTCTTGCTAAGTTACCTAGGGTCTCACTAAGTTTTATGAGGCTGGCTTGAAACTTGAGAACCTCCTCCCTCAGCCTCCAAAGCCTCTGGGATTACATGAGTGTGCCACCACGCCCAGCTATCTGGAGAAATCTTAATGAGGTAGTAGCATGTGAGTTAAGACTTAGAATATAGAAAGGGATTCAATGGCAGATCATCGGACTCTATTACTTTTTTCATGAAATAAAGAAAAACTCTAATAGTTTGCAAATGTCTAGAGATGGCTAAGTACAGAGCCTACTCATGGTGAGTGGTCTAACTTGGCTGGTGGGGGAGGGTGGGAGAAGAATACAGTGAGATAAAGCTGGAAAGATAGTTTGGAACCAGATCACATGGACACTTACATGCCAAGTTCAGAATAAGGAAGGCCATCCTTCAAAACCTGCTCTCAGGTGACTAAAACTGTGTCCATTCCCTATTGCCCAGAGGAGGTATCAGGCATTTTCTGCGAGCCTCACTAACTCTAGGTCATGGCCCTGGCAGGTGTGAGACCCAGCACTAAGATGCAAGGGGTGGCCTCAGCAAGAGGGCTTTAGTGGGTGCTGCTTGCATCTATATTTCAGTTAGAATTAGGCAGGGCTGGCTGGTGTCTTGTCTAAATGAATCTTGGAAGTCTTTGAATCTCTAATCCTAAATACTTGGTCCTGTAGAATGTTCCTAAAATTGTCCTTGTATGGGGGATAGGAGCCTTGGAAATCTCAATTACTTGCAGACACATATATATGGTGTGTGTGTGTGTGTGTATGTGTGTGTGTGTGTATATATATATATATATATATATATATATATATATATATATATATATATATATATATGAAATTCTTTTTTCCCATGCAGGGAGAAGGTAGAATCAGACTTGATATTTCTGGGATTACTGATCTTGGAGAACAGATTGAAGGAAGAGACAAAACCTGTCTTGGAAGAGCTCATCTCAGCCCGGATAAGGACGGTAATGATCACAGGTATAGAGCAAAATGTGCAGTAAAAACAAGAGACAGGGATTGACTCACTTAGCAAATGTTGTTGATGGCCCATGCTGGGCAGGGGCAGGACTGGGAGCTGCAGATGGCAACACAAAGTCAAAGCTGCAGCCCTCACCAAGTTTCCATCCTAGCAGGATGTCAGAAAATGATGACAGCATTTGCAGTCACCTAGCAAATGCTGTAACCAATGTTTTGAGGCATACAAAAGAGTGCAATATGGTAAACTGTGTCTGACCGTCTGCGTTAGATGAGGCAGTTGAGAGTGGCTTCTCTGAGTGGTGGCATTTAAAATAAGATTTCAATGGCAAGAAGATATGAGCGATGCAAAGATGAGTTTCATTGTTCGGGTTAGGAGAAGAAGAATGCTTCGTCAATGTGGTCTCTAAACTGTGTTAAAGGCCCATCAATAACAACATTAATATTCTGGAGATAAAAATAAAATGCTGTCCTTTCTACTCCTAATCCCAACCCCAGATACCACAATCAAGGGAGCACCAAGAAATGATCGCTCAAGAGAAAAGCGTCAACTGTCTTAGGGAACACTTTTCGGTGGTGCCATGATTTTTTAACGGTGAACAGCTGACTTCCTCAAGAATTTGTGTTTTTGAGAATGTGCTGTCTTCCCTTTCTCTGCTCTCCTAGTCAGATGCTTTTAATTCTTTGGCCTTTGTCACTGAGACACAATATTTCCCACCAAAGCATTTACTCCCCCCACCCAGTGTTCCTGAGCCCACATCAAAAGCTGGGGACCCTGGACTGCTGTTACTGCCCTTATATCCAGACCCATTCTAGCTCCAAGGCACTTCTTGCTGCTTTAGTTTTCTCCTCTTGTGGCCTCAATCCAATTTTAGGTGCTGCTGAGTTGATTCACTTCTTATGAGCCTTTCTCTGAATCCTTCTGCTTAACAATCTTTATTTAGCACTCACATACTTGTTTTCATAATCTAGCCCCAGCCATTAGATGTACAAATAAGAGTGCATCACTCTCCACCCTTTTTCTTCAATTCTTTTAACCTCACATTAAAATTTCAGCTCTGTTTCTTTCCTTCCATGTTTACAATCTTTTCCTCTTTGGATGGGATCAAGGGGTGAAATGCTCTCTGATTTCTTACATATCCTGGATAAGATTTTTGTCCCTGACAGACACACGAGTCAAAGTTCTTTTTTCTTAACCATCTGTATGTAAGTACTATTTGAACTTTTTTACTTTATATTTTGCCTTCTGACTTTTGATATTATAAAAGTACAATGCCAGTCCATTTTGCGGCCACTTTTTCTTTTCTTCATATAATCTTTTATCTTTAACTTTGCAATTTAGAAATGTATGCCTGTGTGTGTGTGTGTGTGTGTGTGTGTGTGTGTGTGGGTGTGTGGGTGCATGCATACACATGCACACATACACATATATATATATATATAAATTTACATATATATTGTGATTAGTTTAGTTTGGAACATAGAGAGCACTTTAAATCTTTCTTTCTTCCTGTTCTATAAGTATCCTTTACGGTTCATTTAATTATGGCCTTTGTTCTCTGTCTTAGAATTTCTATTATTCACATAACAGGTCTCCTGAATTTATTCTTTCAGTTTCTTATCTTTATTCTTTTGGTTGCCATATTTTTATAATTTTGTTTTGTACTCTCAGATTTTTTTTTTGTTGGGGGGCACCCAATTTTTCCAAATCATAGTACAGGTCTCAACAATGATCCTTATCTCCTTTAAGTCACATAGTAAGTTGTTAAGAAAGATATTTTGGGTTGGATGTGGCTCTAGAAAACCTTCGTTTTGTTTTATTTCTTGGTGCTGCATTTGGCCACCCTTTATGCTCTCATTGTTTTCATGCAGGTTTCATGATCTCCAGTGGCTGATATTCCTCACCAGTCATGAGGTCTGGTGGTTCTGCCTGATCTTTCCTATCCAACTTCTGGGAACTCTTAGATTTCTTTGGTGACTGATGGTCAGGCTGGGCTGTCCATCCACACAGTGGATCTCTCAGAGGTGGTGGAGGCAAAACTGGCCTGTGATATCAGGTGGAGGGCTGTGGTCACCCTGCTGAGGCTTCTGGCAGTGGGGAGCGGGGTGTCTTTCAGCCATCAGGACTCCACGGGACCTTCCCATCTCAGTTATTACAGCTCCTTCCCACAAGCTCAGCTCTTTTGAGGATCCTCCTAAATACTGTGCTAGAATTATTATTAACCCATCAGATATTATATTATTTCTTAGCAGTTGCTCTAGGAATCACAATATTCATACCTATTATTTCAAGAAGGCTTACAACCAAGAATGTCCTTGCCCCTGTTTTTTGTATGGTTGTTGTAACTTTGACATACATAAAAAACATCCACTGGACAGTGTTCTAGTCTTTATCTTCCATGATAGAGAGTTAAAAAACATACATGATGAAGAAAATTAAATTTTATATTGCTATGTTTTTATTTCTTAATACAAATTAACCTCTGGTGCTACTTCCTTTCAGTCTAAAGAATTTCTTGTAGACATTCTTTTTGAATGTGTCTGCTGGCAATGAATTATCTGAGTTTTCTTTCATCTTATAATATTTTTATTTTTCCTTTATTGCTGAGAGATATTTTCATCAACTGTAGGAGTCAAGTTGACATTTCCTTTTCTCAAAGTACTTTAAAGATATAATTCCACTGTCTTCCTGCCTCCATGGTTTTTGATGAGAAATCTGGGGTAGTTTGAATCATTGCTTTCTTATCTATAATGCGTTTTTGTTGTTGTTATTGTTGTTGTTCAATTGCTTTTTTCTTTAACTTTTAGCACTGTGAGTCTTCTGTGTCTGGCTGTCGTTCTCACTGAGTTCATCCTGTTTGACTTTCACTCAGCTTTTTGAATCTGTAAATTTAAGTCTTTCACCATATTTGGAAAGTTTTCTGCTATTATTTCTCCCAATATTTTTTCTGTGCCAATCTCTTTCTCAGACTTTACTGATGTGAATGGGAGTCCTTTCTATATCCTTGAGTTTCTTCATTTTTTAAAAAAACTTTTTATCTTCTGTAGACTGTATAATTACTATGGATCTGTCTTCCAGTTCACCGACCCTTTCTCTTGTTTTCTCCATTCTGCTTTCAAGCATGTCCGGTAATTTTTTTTTTTATACCAGGATGAATATATATTAAAAAAAATTAGGCAAAGTATTTTTCAATCCTAATGTACCCATTTGGTCCTTTTCTTACCATTTATTTGTTGAGAACTTCTGTCTTTCCATTTGTTTTGTGAGTACTAACATTTGCCACATAAAGGAGGCTTATCATAACTCCTTAAAACTGGTGATTTCAACATCTGAGTCATCAAGCAATTGGCAACTTTTTTTAAAATTGATAATTGGTCAGATTTTCCGGGTTTTAGTATGTTGAGTATCCTGAATATCTTGAATATTATGTTGTGAGACTTTGGATCCTGGATCCAAAGTTCTGTCTTGCCCATTGCAGATGACGCTTCTAACATTTGCTTAGATAGTCAATCTTTTGCTATGATGTTTGGGTCTGTCCCATTCAAGGATTGTTATGTCAAATGGGAGGGTGATTTATATTATACTCCAATTCCTGAAATTTCTTTGGGTCTGCTTCACCCAGGCCCACTCTGGGTTGAACCCAAATCTGAATTAGTCCCCCCTTTCCAGCTCTTTTCTTTCCAGAATTCTCCTCATACTCTCCAGATGACCCCTTTCCTGGCTTCTCTGACCAGAAAGACTGGGTTTCTCTTGGAGTTTTAGCTGCTTGAATTTCTCTGGGACTAGAGCCAAGGTTCAAATCAAACACATAAAAGGAAAGACAAAAAAAGCTGAGAAACTCACCCCTTCTAGATTGCTTCTTCAGTTTGATTCCCACAGTCTGCTTGCTTTCTTCTTTAGAGTCCTTGGGCAGTTACTTTTTTGGTGGGGGGAAGGTACCAGGGATTGAACCCAGGAGTGCTTAACCATTGAGCAACATCTCTAGCCTTTCGTTGTATTTTATTTAGAGACAGGGTCTTGCTGAGTTGCTCAGGGCCTTGCTAAGTTGCTGTGGCTGGCTTTGAACTCATGATCCTCCTACCTCAGCCTCTGTGGCCATTGGGTACTTTTTGGGTTGTGTTTCAGTGCTTTCAAGTTGTAAGGAAGGGAGAGAGAGATTGTAGTGGGTTTAATTCATCCTGGCTAGAAGTGGAACCACCAGATTCAATATTAAAATGGCAGGGTTTTCCCTAAATGTCTGCGAAGCCCTTAACAAATGAGAGAAATAGATTTTAATTTTGCTTATTATTTTTCCTTCCCACCCTCTGGCAAAAACACACTGGTAGGTGATGGAGTTACCTGATGAAAAAGAGCCAGAACCAGAAAAGGGGTCATGAAATTACAGGTTAGATCTAGAAAACACCTTAGAAATGTTCCTCTATACCCCTAAATAAGGACTGAACTCCTCAGCCTGGCTCTCCCGGCTCTCATGAGTTGGTTCTATCTCTTCAACCTCTCTTCTTAGAACGCTCAATTTTTCTTCTAGGCGACAATCTTCAGACTGCAGTAACAGTGGCCAGAAAGTCTGGGATGGTTTCTGAAAGCCAAAAAGTCATTCTCATCGAGGCAAATGAGACCACTGGGTCCTCGTCAGCATCGATATCTTGGAAATTAGTAGAAGAGAAGAAACATGTTTCATATGGGAATCAGGTATACCTCAAAACAGACGGGCCACATTTCCTGACTTGTCTCATGATGTCGGTGATGGACAGCTCTGATGGGCAGAGTGTCAGAGTGACCTAGAGTCCACTGACTTCCCCAGGTGTCTAACAATATGAAGTTCAATGAACCCAATTATATCAGTTTTCCCCACTGTTTCTTCTGTGCTCTAAGGTATGGGCTTTCCTGAGCGCTGGAAACAATCCATCTTTTATACTTAAAAAACTTGTTGGCTTTGTATGAGAGAGCATACAGTCAGCAGAGCTGTGAATCTAATGTCTTATTTTTCCCTTTGCTTGTCTGCCACCCCATTGGGTTCAAAGGGGATTTAGTCCCTGAGAGAGACACTACCCTGTGCATTGAAAAATCAGACTACATCCTCAGGGGAGACAATACAAAATTTCATTCATTTATCTTCAGTCTTGCCAGCAATATTTCCATTGTATCCTTGTGAAACAATATTAATTCTGTAAGGAAAAAAAATAGTAAGCGCTCACTTCAGGGAGAGATTTGTTAAGCTGCAGGGCTTTTGTATTTTACACTTGAAATGTGTGAAATGTGCTCTTCCCTGGGACTCACTGAGATCAAATCAGGATGAGAAGAGGACATGAGTAAGTGTTATTCTCCTGTTCACTGGTGGCTGTGATGTGCGAAGATGGATCTAGCAAAGAGAAAAGTACTTCTCTGAGGAATCAGGACTGGAGTGTGACTTTTAAAGAGAGACCCTCATCTGTCTTCATTCCCTCTCTCTAAAGTGCTTGTGGTCCCAAGCACTCTAGCAGGTGGAAGAATGTGAAATAACTATCTCATTTTGCAGGACAATTACATTAACATCAGGGAAGAAGTCTCTGATAATGGCAGAGAAGGAAGTTATCATTTTGCCCTAAGTGGAAAATCCTTCCATGTCATAACTCAACATTTCAGCAGCCTACTGCCAAAGGTGGGTTCTTAGAGTGTAATACTCCATCTGCAAAGATGCTGATGACCTCACATAGCATGGTCCTAAACCACTTTAAACTTCGAAATAAGTAAGATATATATATATATATATATACCTAGTTACTTTTACATATCATAAGAGATATTTCTGCAAAGGTTACTGTGGTCTTGTTTCTTATTATAATTAAAATAAATAAACTTGATAAGTAGGTTTTCCTCCATCTATAGGATTGAAGTGTGAGTGATATTTTAAATCATAAGAACTGATTTTAGGTTGCTGTCATTATATTGCCATGATATGTGTGGGTCAGGGGGAGGGGCATCTCACAGTATAGTGGAAATCCTGCAATCGTACTGTAAAGCAGACCAAGAATAAAAGAACTCCATTAGGTTTTTGATAGAGCCTATATGCTAAAGTTGATTAACCTCAAGCTTTTCTTATGAAGAATGTGCTTATAATAAGGGCAGATAACTTACCTGCCAAAGAATAAAGATCTTGAGGGAAGTTGAGTTGAGCTTACTGCAGAGAAGAACAAGAAACACATAGATCTAACACAGAAGAATTTAGACATTTGGAAACAAACTTAAGTGGACACAGCTGGTACATACAGGTTTTTATGCCCTCAACCGATCGTAATCCATAGCTCAAATTAGGTTTGGGATAGCAGCTGAGTTTCATAATTGGTAAACTCTAGGCAGCATGATTAAATCCAAGACCACAAATAATCACCATTTCATCATCAGTTTCTTTTCTGCCTGTTCTGACCAATTTTCTGAGAAGCAGTTGCTTCTTTTTCTTCTCCTGGAGTCCTGACCTTTTGCTAAGCTGCAATTTCTCAGACTTTGCTTTTTCAAGGTTCCAGCAAGTTCAAGATTTTTCAGGACCTCATTTTTCATGGCAGCTGGGTTGAATTCCTATAAGTCATTATTTTCATAAAATATCTTATTAAGCTACCATCTTTACTGATATTTTGTCTCCATTGTCATTTACCAGATGACAAAAAATCTCAATGTCTGTATTAAAATTCCAAAAAAGGATTCCTTGGAAACAAACATCACTCAGTGTTCTGAGTAGTATCATTTATTTCATGTATGACCAGCCAACATGATAAAACATTTTGCTTTTGGATTCCTTACAGATACTGATCAATGGGACCATCTTTGCAAGAATGTCTCCTGGGCAGAAATCCAGTCTGGTGGAAGAATTTCAGAAACTGGAGTAGGTTCTTTGCCTATTCAGGTGGCATGAACTACATGGAGGCTTTAGAGTAAGGGCTGGGGGAGTGTGAGAGGTACAGAGAGCTGCTCAGTTTCGCTAGGACAGTGGTTTTTATCCTGGCTTCACATGACAGTCATTGGCTGAGGGAGCTTTGAATAAAATAGCAACACCAGAACCACACGGTCCAGAGATTTGGGTATAGTTGCTCACACAGGGTTTGGACATTTGTATTTTTTCAAAACTCATGGGAGTCAGTTTTTGTACCCAAAGTTGAGAACCACTGTACTAGAATATAAGGAGCATGAAAAGGTATGGAGAGAAATAAGACTGAAAGACTGACTTAAGCTCAACTCCTGACAGTACAATGGGAATTTAGACTTTATCTTTATAAGCTATTGTTATGATCTAGGGAGATTTGTATGATCAGGGATTCACATAACCCACCCTCAACATTAAAATATTCTTATGCTAAAGCATCCTTTCCATCCAAATCAGAAAAAACACAAAGACTCTCCATTTCTAGTCAGAATAAAAAGTTCACATAGAGTGCCCATCATCCGGGACCCTGTATTTCCTGTTCATGGACCTCATGGAGTAGCCACGCTAGACCTCATCCTACTCACCTGATTCAGTCCTTAGGAAAACTACTCAATTTACAAAGCCCTATCTTCCCTACATGGTTTAAACCCAGAGGTATCTAGTACTTACAGGAAGGCAAGAGAAAAGTGCAGCTACTTTGTGAAAGCTCTTTTGGTGCTTGTCATTTAAGAAGCTGACTCTCCATAATCTTTTTCAACACTTCCAGAGAGAAGTGCTTGTCCAACCTCGAAAAGCCATCTGAACTTGGGATGTGCTTTCTTTCTTCCACTTCTGGGTCTGGCACATCATGTTTTAGTGAGAGACTGAGGACAGGGTGGATTTAGCATGAGCAGTGCAGCAGCTAAGACCTGCTTATCACTGGGAGCTCATCAGGCACTTTCCTGACAGCACTTCATTTCACACTCAGAACACTTTGCAGAGGAGAGAAATGATGCTGCAGGATGGTAGGATGCCCAGGCCCAACTCTAGATCTTCTGGTTTTGAATCTTGTGCCCGCCCTACCATGTTCTGACATCTCATCATGGGGTCATGTATATCCCCAGTTTTCAACCAGGAAGGCTGCTCCCCAAGCAGTGAAGTACAGTGTCTCCATGTGGGGTCAGGAATGATGCCTTGGATTTCATCATCCATTATGCAAACTGCTCAGTTACACTTTACTTCTAATAGACCCTTAGGGAAACTCCTTTAGAATAAATGATAAAGTTAAGCCCTAAGTAATCATGGACACTTTGTTTTTCTTAATTAGAGAAATTAGCTGGTAAGGATAGCTTTGATCTTCTTCCACCATTTCACATGATTCCCTTTTAGTTATTTTGTAGGTATGTGCGGAGATGGAGCCAATGACTGCGGGGTAAGTAGCTGCCAGTGGGTGGCCATAATCTCTCAATAATACGTACCTGGAGCTCTTTAGAGACGGTACCTGCTGGGATATATATATATATATATATATATATATATATATATATATATATATATATACCCTTTGCATTTCTCATGATGGATAAACTGCTGGTGAGGATCTGGGAGGGTCCTGACCAGTATAGGATAAACAAGGCACAACTTGGTTCTGAAGTTGCCACATCTTTGGCAAGGAGCCTCAATGCCATCTCTTTCTTATGTGCTGGCAGGGTAAAGTCGGGTCGACTTCTGATTAGGGCTGAGACCCAAGTTACCTTGTGGTGGGCTTGACTGGCCTTTTCTTCTGTGTCATCAGGAGAAGTGTGTGTGTGTCCTCACAGGTCATAAGCTGACTCTTTGCTTTCAGGCCTTGAAAATGGCTCATGTGGGCATCTCTCTGTCAGAGCAGGAGGCATCTGTGGCCTCACCTTTCACTTCCAAGACTCCAAACATTGAGTGCGTCCCTCACCTTATCAAGTAAGTGGGCATCTACCCCTATGTTATCTTCTCTCCCTTGAATTTGAGTACAGATAACATTGTTCTGCCTGGGAAAGGCCAGCATCCCTATGTGTGGAGAGGGTCACACAAAAATGCAAACATAGCTTCTGCCTAACAGACTGAGCAGAAATTACGAATAACAATGGAAGAAAAACACCATTTCCAATGGAAGATGTTGATTGGATTATTTTCAAAGTGTTGAAATCTGGAACTTGTAACTGCTTTGAAAATGTATTAATTAGCCTTTCTCTATCTATCTATCTATCTATCTATTATTGGGAATTGAACCCAATGGTACTTTACCACTGACTATACCCCAGTTCCTTTTTCCTTTTTTAAATTTTGAGACAGGGTATCCCAAAGTTGCCCAGGCTGGCCTCAAACTTGCGATCTCCTGCCTCAGCCTCCTGAGTGCTGGGACTACAGTGTGCCACTGTGTGTGGCCTTCTTATTTTTAATATGTATCTTCTTAGATGCTTCATACTGGAAAGTTTAAGACATACACTTACCTTCCTTCCCTTTTGCCTCATTATACTGCTTTGAGTAACTTTTCCATCCTTGCCTTTCAAAATCTATACTTATCTTTGCTTCTTCCACTAAAATTTTCCTTGTTGGTTTATTTTTCTTTTCACAGAATATGTAATTCTGTGGCATTTTGTTTGAATGGTAGCAATAGCAGTATACTTGCTCTTGATGATAGTTTAAAAGGGGCTTAGCACCCACATTATCTTATATATCACACACCCTGGAGATATAGGAATGGCAATTATCTCTTTTACAAAGAAAGAACTTGAGGCTCAGAGAACTTGGGCATAACTGATATGCTCAAGGTTGCATAGCCATATAGAGTCGCAGATTGTTTTAGAATTGAATTTATTTAGATGGGTTTTTTAATCTACAAATATTATACTTTTAACATATTAAATTAATAATCTGACCAGATTCTTCCATTTAAAAATTATATTTATTCACTTATTGGGCAAATATTTATTGAGTGGGGACTTAGCACCAGGATCAGATAATACTTAACCGATATTGATAAATACTGTCAAGGAAACAAAAAGAACAGCGTGAAAGGTCAGAAGGTGGTTGGGGAGGAGAACTGGACAGTTCCAGAAGGTGGCTTGGCAAAACTTTTCCAAGGAGGTGAGGAATGAGAAGAAACTACCTTTGGGGCAGAGAAAAGGACAGTAGAAAAATCCTGATACATTTAAAAAAAACCAAAAAACTGTTTTGAGAGTCAAGTCTTAGCATCCCAAGAAATAATTTTGATCATAAGTAAATTAAAACCTTATTCTTTCTCCCAAATGAAACAGAAATGGCATTTCATGAGTCATTTATTTCATGCTTTAACTATGTAGTGTTTACTCAGTCAACAATAACACAAAGAAGTACGCTCATTGCGTCTACTCTGTTTAAATTTGACATATGAGTAATTTGAGTGTGCATATTGTTTTAGAAAAAGTTGAGACTGCCAAAATGAAATTTGAATCAAATGTTTGCCAACCTCCTGAAGGTCCTGCATGAAAATGGATCCCAAACCTGAAATTTTATTTCTGTTTCTTCCCAGAGGAAGAAACTGAGACAAGGGAAATCACCTTCCAAATCAGATCGCATTAGCGGATAGTATTTTGAGTATTTATTAACTTTGTTTTTAGTATAATGTATTTAGTGGTACATTTATATAATTCAAGTATTTTTTATTGATTATGTTTAACAACTTGCTTATAACATTCCTGAAAATTTAACAATTGACTTTCAAGAGTTAGTATAAACCTGCATACCTCTGGTTCCACGAGGTATAGGACTTTGAAAATTGCAATATCATACAAAGATACAAATATCTTGTATGAGGTGTGAGACTAGCTCCCAGATCCCCCTATTCTGAGGTCAGGAGCTTAGCCACTGCCTGCAGAAGGAACAAGAGTAGATATAAGTCTGGGCCCCATTGCCAGATCAAGGCCTCCAGACATCAGCCTGGAATTAGGCTTTCCTCAACATCTAGTCATGCAGTATCCTGAGCCAGGTCCCTCAGTCTCAAGGCTGACTAGTCTGTCAGACACAAAATGGTAAAATCAGATGTCTGATTTTTTTTTTCTCCTGAGCTCAGCTGAACAGCACAGAATAACTGACCTAATTTCTTCCTAACTTCATTTTCTTCCTCTTTCATTGTTTTCCTTACACAGGGAAGGACGAGCAGCTCTTGTGACCTCGTTTTGCATGTTTAAGTACATGGCTCTGTACAGCATGATTCAGTATGTTGGTGTTCTCCTGCTCTACTGGGTATGATTTGGGACCCACCCTCTTGGTTGATGAGAACCAAAACAAGGGGTGGTGCACTCTCGATTTGCAATGCCCTTTCAAGAAAGAGTGCAAATAGGACATCAGAACATCAAGAGCCCCTCTAAAAATATCATCAAGTTTTCTTAAAATACATCAGAAATAGACATAGGTGCACAGGAGGAGTTGTTGGTATCAATTCTTTGGCTCTGAGATAGAAACTGTTTTATCTAGTCGTAGATAAACATCAGGACTGAATATATCACTTTCAGTCTCATGTTACTGTCACCTGCTTAGACCAGATTTTTATCTTCTTGATTCCTGTGTGGCTCTACTCTGATGTGCCATTCATTCAGGAGATTATTTTCTTCTTTGGTGTAGTGCTTACTAACTGGCTTATCCTGACTATTAAAGTTTGCCAATTTCAGTGGTTCAGGTACTACTCTCCATAGCCAGTTTTGATATCTCCCTAGTGTGGAATGGTCAAGTGATGTGTATGCACCAGATAGATCCAAGAGTCATAAATATCCTTAGAGCACAGGGAATAGGAACATGTAGGAAGAATTAAGAAATTCTGAATTTTTTTTTTTTAGTATAATTTGTTTAGTGGTATGTTCATATAACTCAAGTTTTTTGGTTGAATGTGTTTAACAACTTGCTTATAACATTTCTAAAAATTTAGCAATTGACTTTCAAGAGTTAGTATAAACTAGCATACCTCTGGTTCCAAGAATATAGGGCTTTGAAAATTGCAATATCATACAAAGATACAAATATTTTGTGATGACTTTCATTATTTGACAAGATGTAAAAGGAGAACAGACATGACTATTTTTTTTGTGAGTTCAACACATGAGCTTATTCTTAACACTAATACCAAGAAAAGGAATTTCATTTGTGCTAAACATATCTAGAGTCATCTTTATTTCTTACCCCTTCTAGGTCAAAGATTTCAGTTTTGTTGATTTTGAATTATCTATACCTGTTAATACTCACTGATAAGTAACTAGAGAAAGATTGGCTATTTATAGACAGCCCTATTTTGAAATCTCAACTCATTATATTCAAAAGTAGAATTAAACACAGTACCCTATAATCCCCTTTCCACTAGGGATGGCGAACAAGGAAGGAAGTTCCCCCAAATCTGCAAGACCTGAGCACTTTTTTTTTAAGTATTAATGTGCTTTATTAGGATTTTCTAACATTTTATCTGACAACACCCAAGGATGCAAATTGTGGTTTAGTTATCCTCATTTCCATCAGTAAAATTCATGTAAGATCACCAGACATTTGTCATTTGAAACTGTTGGAGATGCATGTTTTTATTGTGCCAGACCAAAGTCCAGATTGGGTCTGGTAGAGGGAGATGTTATTTCAACACAGGGTAATACTGACATACAGCCCAGAAAGCACAGGACACATGCTTCCTTTTGGGGAGGGTCTCACAGACTTGGCTCCAAGCACTTCCCACACCAGCACTCACTAACCCACTCAGACCCCAGCCTCACCATCTCCTTGGTAATCTCCCTGAAAAATCCTGTGTTGTAGTGAGAAAATGATCTCAGCTCATGCCAGACTTCATTCAAAAGGTCACAACTTTTTAAGTTGGCTTTTCTTTTCATTTTCAGGAGACAAACAGCCTGTCAAACTACCAGTTTCTATTCCAGGATTTGGCCATTACAACTCTGATTGGTGTAACAAGTAAGAGATACTTTAAAAACTTCCTTCCCAGTATAGCAGTGATGTGTGACATATTCCCAAAGATGGGGGATTCAGGGACAGAGTGGGGGGGCAGGGACAGAGAGACAGAGGGCAGGGGGAGAATATACTATCCTCATTTTCATATTGAAAAAGTGTTGCAAAGGAAAAGCTGGTTATTTTAGTTTTCTGCAAAATATGGAGTTTCCATAAATGGTCAGTAAACATTTAAAAATAAAAGAAGCACCTTGAGAATTGGGAACACTGACATCAGTGAGCTTTTAGGTGTAGTTATAATTGGAATGTGCCCAACAGATGGATGCTAAGTGGCTTTTTATATTTCTGATCTCCAAATCTTAGCCTTTCGGCATTTATAATGGAGCTTCAAAGTAATCTTGCCAGTATACTATGCCTGCCTCCCACCTTCTGATGAATATATGAATTGTCTCCCCAGTTTCCCTGCATAGGAAAATTTTAAAAAATTTTTATGATTTTATTTTGACTAGAGCTATTTTAGATTCACAGAAAAATTAAGAGGAAGGGACAGAGATTTCTCCCTCATCCCCTGCCCCTACACATGCACAGCTTCTCCTATTATCAACATACCCCTTACCCCAGAGTGATACATTTGTTGCAACTGATAGATCTGCATTGACCATCTTATTCACCCCAAGCCCTTAGTTTACTTTGGGATTCATTCTTGGTCTTATATATTCTGTGAGTTTGAAAATACGTAAAATAATGTGTATGAATCATTTGTGATTCTATTCTAAGTGATATCATACAGATTTTTCACTGCTCTGAAATCCTCTGTGCTCAGCCTGTTTATCTTCCTCCCCTCCCCCAAACTCCCCACAACCACTGTGATCATTTTCCTTTCTCCATAGTCATACCTTTTTCAGAATGGCATATAGTTTGAACTATGCAGGATGTAGCCTTTTTAGACTGGCTTCTTTCACTTGGTAATGTGCATGTGAGTTTCCTCCATGTCTTTTCATAGCTAGATAGCTCATCTCTTTGGGGGACTGAATAATAATTATCTGTATGCCACAGTTTACTTATCTACTCACCTACTGAATGACATTTTGACTGCTTTAAGTTTGGGCAATTATGAATAAAGCTAGTATGAATATTTGTGTGCAGGTTTTAGTGTGAACACAAGTTTTCGGTTCTGTTGTATACACACCAAGGAGTGTAGCGGAATCAAATGGTAAGAGCATGTCAGTTTTGTAGGAGACCCCCAGGTTGTCTTCCACAGTAGCTGTGCCCTATTGCCTTTCCACCTGCAGCCAGTGGAAGTTCCTATTGCTCCACCTCTTCACTGGCATTCAGTGTTGATGATGTTTTGGAATTGGGACCTTCTTAATAAGTGATAGTGGCTCCACATAGGCTTTCAATCTTATTTCTTCCTACCTTCTCAAGGGTTTGATAGTAATCCTCTAATAATCTCTTTTTCCATTTTCATCAACGTTTCTCTGATCTACTGCATCATTCATGAATTTGAATTCTGGGTTGTGGTGTTTTTTGGTGGAAGGCAGTGGCCCCTGAGCCGTATCCCCAGTGCCCACCGGCCTTCCCCACCCCTTTCTTTCTTTCTCTCTTCCCACCCCTTTCTCATCTCTTTTTCTCTTTCTCTCTCCCCCACCCCTCTACCTCTCTGAAGTTATTTAAGATGGAATTTTTTCCTAATTTCTTTTGGAATTTTTCACTGGAGATGTATAGAGACACAACTGCTTTTTATGTACTGATTTTATACCCAAAAACATTGCTAAAATTCTTTTATTTACTCTAGTAGTTTCCATGTATATTTTTTGGAATTTTCAATATATAGGATTTGTCATTTGCAAATATACTTTTGTTTCTTTTTCAATTTAGATGATCTCATTTATGTATTTATTTATTTGTCTAATTTCTCTGAGTTGAACTTTTCAGTACATTGTTGGATGGCAGTGTTGAAAGTGGACATCCTTGTCTTGTTTGTGATCTTAGGGAAGAAGTTTTCAGTCTATCATCTTTGACTATCATGCTAGATGTAGGTTTTTCATTACATGATATACAACCATGGAGATTATAGGTAACATCCTAAATTTGTGATAATCTAGCCTGAATTAGTTGCTTAACATACAAAATCTCTGCCTTTTTCTAGCTGTCTTCCTCTTTTATGTTGTTCATGTTACAATTTACATTTTTATCTGTTATAACAGATATATAATCACTTTTATTCATGTCTTTGAAATAATGTAGGAATAAAAAGTGGAATATAAGCCAATATTACAGCAATATCCATTTTTTATATTGCTGTTATGGTTACCTTTGCTGGAGATGGCTATTTTTTCATACACATGTGAGTTACTGTCTAAAGTCCCTTCATTTCAATTTGAGCCCATTAGCATTTCTTTCTAGGTAAGTTTAGTAATAAGAAACCAATTTAGTTTTTGTTTAGCTGAGAATATATTAATTTCTCCCTCATTTTTGAAAGATAAGTTTTCCAGATATGGAATTCTTGGTCAACAGGGATTTTTTTCTTTCATCATTAAATATAATATTCTGTTGACTTCTGGCCTAAATGCTTTCTAATAAGAAGCTAGTAATTAATCTTACTAAAGAGCCTTTGTGAATGATGAGAAATTCTTTCCTTATCTTTGACTTTTTACAGTTTAATTTTAAATTTTAGTGTGACTCTTTGGGTCTAACCTATTATAATTCTTTGAGCTTATAGAAAGTGCAGATTGATGACTTATCAAAGCTTTCAAGTTTTCTGCATTATTTCTTCAAATATTCTTTCTGCCTCTATCTTCTCCTTCTGAGACTCCCACAGTGTGTGCTATGTTAGTCTAGTTGACCTTGATCTACATGTTTTTTGGACTCTGTTCACTTCTTTATTCTTTTTTCTTTTCTGTCCTCCAAACAGAATCAATTCAACTGCTCTGTCTTCAAGATCACTAATTTTTTCTCTTCTGCCTGCCCAAATTGGCCATTGAACCCATGAAATGAATTTTTCACTAATTGTACTTTTCAACTCTAGGAATTCTTTTGGCTCCTTTTAATAATTTCTGTATCTTTATTAATAGACATTCTCATTTTATTTACATATAGTTTTCCTGATTTTATTTATTTGTTTCTCTATCATTTCTTTTTGTTCTTTGAGACATATTTAAGACAGTTGTTGTATTGTGTTTGTCTAAGCTGGGTGGTGGCATATGCCTATAATCCCAGCAACTTGGAAGGCTGAGGCTGGAGGATGTCAAGTTCGAAGTCAGCATCAGCAACTCTGCAAAGCCCTAAGCAACTTAGCAAGACCCTATCTCAAAGTGAAAAAGGGTTGGGGATGTAGCTCAGTGGTAAAGCACCCCTGGATTCAATCCCTAGTACCTAATAATAATAAAGTTTTTGCCTCATAAGTCTAATATATGTGTTTCTTCACATACATTGAGTGATGATTTCCCTCAATCTATTTTGTTCTTTGAATAATATTAGAAAGCAGATTTTCCTCACTCCCTAGGGTTTGATATTTTTTGGTTTTGCTATCTGTTGAAAGTTGTAATAGTCCATTTATTTAGTGACTTTCCTAGACTATTTCTGTGAAGACAATATAAGGTGTCATGTGTAGCCACCGAAATCTTTGTTCCTTTAGCTTTTGTTTAGCTAGTATTTTGATAGATTTTTCCTTGACCTCTAGGAGTTAAAAAAATAAACAAACAAAAACACATTTCCTGGCTTTTTCATATTGGTTTTGTGCTGGGGTGCTTATTCATCATGTAGCCAGGTTTGCACTGCGTCCAGAGATCATGGAGAGCTGAACGTCTAGTGTCTTCTCTGAGCATGCCCCTTATCCTTGATACATGGCTTTCTATATTTTGTGATACATTCAAATACTTTTGGGGGGCACTTATAAGTGCCCTGGTTTCTCAAAGAAAGTTTTCTTAGCCCTTCCTCCCTGTTTTAAGTGAGCATTGTATATTTCAGCTATAATCTTTTGCTCCAGGCAACTCTGGATTGTTAGTTTATAGTGTTTCCAAGCAATGTATCCTTCTTTTTGCCTGAGTGAGTTCCTCACTAGGTGAAATGGAGGTGAGTGCCTTGCATCAATCTATTCTTCAGGTAGCTTCCAGACAGGTAGAACAGACATACATAAGAATTTGGGAAGAAGTCTGCTGTGCCCCCTCTGTAACCAGGGACCAGAGAACCACACTGAGGACCCAGGGTTAGTTAGTATCTTCAGATGGCCCCTGAGCTGATAAGGGAATGAGGCACATGCAAGAAAAAAAAAATGCCATAAAATTGCCTCACTATTTTAAAGTTGCCTTTTTCTTAATTCATTGGTGTTTGCTTTATTGCTATGAATTTATTGCTTTTCAGAGTTCTGGAAAAGTTGGTTCTGAAAATTTCTAAGTTATTTTTTGTTTTTCTGGAAAGATGGGAGCTTGGAGCTGCCTACTCCAACATTTTGCTGGTATCATTCCTCATTTGTTGTAAATATTTTGGAACATTACTTATAGTCACTGTGTGTTGCTCCATTGTATAGATGTACCACAATTTATTGTATATGTTATTGTGATGAACCTCTTTCCACATTTTTTTTTTTTTTTTGAGTACGGATCTTTTTTTTTTTCTTTTTTTTTTTATTTTTATTTTTATTTTATTTTATTTTTTTTTTTATTGTTGGTTGTTCAAAACATTACATAGTTCTTGATATATCATCTTTCACACTTTGCTTCAAGTGAGTTATGAACTCCCATTTTTAGCCCATATACAGATTGCAGAATCACATCAATTACACATCCATTGATTTACATATTGCCATACTTGTGACTGTCATGTTCTGCTACCTTTCCTATCCTCTACTATCCCCCCTCCCCTCCCCTCCCCACCCTTCTTCTCTCTCTACCCCCCCATTGACCTTCATTTCTCCCCCTTGTATTATTTTTCCCTTTCCCCTCATTTCCTCTTGTATGTTCTTTTGTATAACCCTGAGGGTCTCCTTCCATTTCCATGCAATTTCC